CAGTTTTATGTTCTGCTGGGTACTGAACCTAAGACATTGTACTTGTTAGCTACATACTCTACCAAATCAGTTATATTCCCAGCGCCCAGAACATCTTTTTAAGGACAAGGCTGTTGCATATCTTATCTACCACAATATCTCAAGATATTCATTTGAAATATTATATAAATAAGTAAATGAATTCTTCATTCCAGATAAACCAAAGTCCTGTAGCATCTCTAATATGCAGGCTTGTTCCTTATTGCTAGCTCCCTGCTCTTCCACTTATTAGCTCTGATTTTTTTACATGCTTTTACATGCTTTCTTTTTTTTTTAAAGCCATTAGCTCTGATTTTTAAGTACCCTAATATACTCAAGCGTCTATTTTCCTGCTGATATACTTACTCTTTTACAACAGAGAAAATATCATTATAATGAAATTACTTTTATGAAAATTTTAAGTGAGAAAATATATATGCAATACATGCTACACACTAAACACTCCATAAACAATAAGAAATATTAATATTATTATATTAACTACGTTTCATTGCAATGAATATAACCTTCAACCAGATGGGTAACTATTTCATTCATGGTGGCTCACTTCCGCTTTCAGTTCTTCAGGAAAACTCAAAGAATGTTCCTTCATTTTTGCCTGTACAGAGCCATAGCTAACACTAGCATATTGTGACCCATGTGTTTACTCATTTTCTCCCTATCTCACAATATGCAACAAACAGGGCTACGAACTCATCCTTTAGAAAAATGCCCCACTTCATGAATGAATGACTAATGATAATTATTTTGCCTCTAGGCTCACCACACGACCTTCCAATGACTAACCCAATTGCCCATCACTGTAAATCACTGTGGATATGATAAATTTTCCTGTTCAGTGTGTTACAAACTCTATTTATAAGTGAGAAATTCATCAAGGTACCAGATTTCAGGTTTCTTCTCTTGTTGTCCAATTAATGAGCAGATTTCTCCATTCTTTATCTTGATCCCATTATTTACAACACTTCTACTTTACATTTTTGAATTAGAGATACACTTTTCAATCTTTTTTTCCATGATTTTGACCCTATTATTAACAATATTTTTTCAATTAATTATATACTTGATTCTACAAGTTAATCTGAATCAACACTGAACACTTGAAAAGTCATGAACCGCAACCCTAAATGGAACAGTTTAATATCAACATATGCATTTCATATGTGTGTATATCAAGGCATCAAAGATATTTTAATATTTAAGTATGGCACATGAAAATACAATATAACCTAGTTACATGAAATATTCACAACATGAAGTGAAATGGGATTTTACTTTCTTCATGATCCCTAAATATATTTTTATTCATGTTGTACCATAAATTAATAAGGTAGTGACATAATACGGAGTGTGACCTGAATTTGAGCACTTTTATAAAGCACTAAGGCATAAGACTCTAATACTGATGGATAACTGTTCCATGAAACATAAGTAAAAATAAAATATAATATATTTAAAAAGAAGTTCAATATACATTTATTAAGGAGTTACATAAACAGGATATAGAGGGATAGAGTGAAGTTTACCAAATGCAGTTGGCTAATGAAAAAGTACAATGAAGGGAGTGACCCAAAATAACAAAGATCCTTTAACTGAACCAATTCTACTGTTTCAATTAAAAAAATTAAAAAAAAATTTATGTGTACAGGTGCATTGCCTGCATGCATGTAAGTGCACTCATGTCATGCAATGCCTGTGAAGGTTAGAAGAGGGGATCAGATCCCCTGGAACTAGAGCTATGGATGATTGTCAGCTGTCATATGGGTGCCGGAAACTGAACCTGCAACCTCTGCAAGAGCAGCTCGTGATCTTAACCACTGAGCCATCTCTCCAGACCTCTAATGCTTCAGTATTATTATTATTGTATTATTATTATTTTATTTTATGTGTATGCGTGCATTGCCTGCTTGTCGTGCAATGGCCACAGAGGACAGAAGAGGCTGTCAGATCCCCTCAAACTGGAGTTATGGAAAGTTGTTAGCTTCCATGTGGGTTCTGGGATTTGAACCCAGGTCTTCTGCAAGAACATCCAGTGTTCTTAACTGTTGCACCATCTCTCCAGCCCCAACACTCAGTTTTTAATATTACAAGAAAATTCAATTTTAATTAGCTTTCAAATGTTTCTCAAAATGTTAATAGTTTAGTAGCAAATAGGTACAATACATAGTAAATGACACGATGAAAAGACAAAATATAGTAGGCAGGCCAAGCTATCCCTTTGTCTACTTCAGAGAAGCCCAGGCCAATATTGAAGAAATTGTTTCACCCCAGGAAGGCTCACTGAATGTTTGCTCTCCACTGAGTGTTCTGTATCAATTGGAAAATACTAGGAGTTTTGAGAGCCCTGCTAAGAACTTCAGGACTGGGGATATACCTCAGTGGTAGTGGGCATGTCTGCTATGCACAGTGCCTTGGGTTTGGTCTCTAGAATCTCTCTCTCACACACAGACACAGATACACACACACACACACACACACACATACACACACAACACATGCACACACCCATATAGACACACAGATACACTGATACACACTGACACGGACACAAAAAAGCACACACACATACACACACAGACACATGTACACACAGAAAAATGCACACACAGACACACACACACATATAGACACACAGCCAAACTGACACACACATAGACTCACAATCTTATAGCTAACCTATTTCAAAACCATCAAACAGGCTTTGCTCTGAGGCATAGTCACATATTCCAGTAAGGACTGTTTCTTATTGACTCTACTAATGGAACTATTTTCTAAGATATAATTGGAATTTCAGGCATTTCAGCATAAATATGAAATATGACTTAGTTACTTTAAGTAATAGCAATGTCTTCAGTGTGTTTAGCAAAGGAAATAATCCACTTTTGCTTCCTTTTAACAAGAAACCTGTACTGTACGCTGCAGTCACAGGACAAATGTGGTGTCAAGCCAAGGTGACACATTCATTTTTGTTTTTCCAAAGAACATCTTCAGTTGTCTGTACTTGAAAATGACAAAAGATAAATAAATAACTATTTGAATACAAAGACTCACACTGCCGCTATAGCTTTTTTTGAGTTAGTTTTCGGTAAATATTAACCATTATGTCTCACTCTACTGATAACATCCCCACAGACTTTAAACAAAAGTCACAGATCTGAGAGGAGTGTTGATTATTGTAAGTGATGTATGTGCCTGAGCATTCTATCATGACTGAGTTTGGTATTTATATAATACAAATTAATATGAACTGCTTAGAGCAAAACTCCCTTCCCCAAAACACATTATTAAAACCATAAACATTACTTCTTTCATTTTAAGAAATGTCACAAATAAAATATGATTTTATTTCTATGATAATTTGTCTCATATTCTTTAAATAATGAATTGTAGATAAAAATCATCTTTATCAAATACTGAAATAAACTCTTCTTGAAAGCAAGGCTAACTAAAAAACAGACCTCCAGCATCCTCTCATATAGGAATGGGTTAGACTCTAGTGAGTGCAATTTCAAAATGATACTAGGCATATAAAAATGTGTGAGACTTCTGGTAAGATCCAGGAGAGGGAGAGGTGGGGGGAAGTTGAAGAACCCATACCCTATCTGAACCTGGTGACACTGACATAGCTGCATGCAGCAGTCTGGCTAAAGAATGTTTTTGCGAGCAGTACAGTGACTCAGAATTCTAAAACCCTGGGTTCACATTTCTGTTGGGCAGCCATGAAGTCTTCAGAAACACATCAAATAGTTTTTCCTGCTGATACATATGAAGTAAAGATAAGTCTTAAGATGAAGAAAACAACATAACATCAGATTGATATCAAAACTACCTAGTGTGGTGCTTGACAAATAAACATTAGGTACAAGACTTTGCCCTTACCTCAAGGATGTCAGCCTATCAGTTAGAATGACCAGTATAAAAACAGTCAACAAGCATCATATGGCTTTTCAAATAGGGGGTAACTCTGTCATGTGAAAACAAGGCTGTTCCAAGGGAAGCTACTTAGTGGCTGAAGAGCTCTGTTCCTGGGTTTCCTTCATTTGTCTTTTCTGCCATTCTCGATGTTCAGTCAAAGAGAAGCGCCTTTGACATGCTCCCTTCTCACCAGAGAGGATTTTCCTTCAGAGACTCTCAACAGAATTAAGTTTGCTATTCCTAGTGTTGATCATAAATCAGTCATGTGTTGTAATCAAGGCCTAGCAGGTAGAATTTGTACAGCATCATGTTTAGTCATTAACATAGCATAACCTTTCCTCAAGCCAGGAAGAAAAGTAATGAGTACAGGTTGGTAGCCAATTGAATATACTCACATTGGACTCTAGGAGGATAGTTTTAATTTCTATAGTTTTATGATTAGCACAATTATTTAAGCAGCAGAGTCATTCTTGGCTAATGCAGCTAGCTCACATTTCCACTGTGAATTATTCTACATTGTATGGAGTAGACTGTTGGGTCTCTGGGACCCTCATAATTGTGGCATAACTTATGATGAGGCCTATTGTAACTTTCTGAGCCTGACTAAAGTTTGGGGACCTCTGGCAGGTCACTTCCTCATGGAGGTGACTCAGCAGGGCCCGACCTCAGACTGCCTCTCCCTAATCACAGCTGGCATGGCCAATTCTCAGTGGCTCACAGCCATTGCCCCAGATGACATACACCTTTGCCCTTCCCCTTTCCACACCCCTTTTTGTTTAAACTATATAAGGTAATGCCTGACGCAATAAAATGAGTTCCTGCCTCGACAAGACTCCTGACTCGGTGTGGTTTTTGAGTCGCCGACACTCACCATCCTGCTCAGCCCCTAAGAGAGGAACACAGGCTGGTCCTGGCTTCTCTCTCTGCGCCATACCTGTTAGAGAGCGATCCGACAGTAGACTAAGTTTTAAACTGTCTTACTTGAAAGTAAATCACTTTTTAAAAATGTAAAAAAATGTATACTTAATATTGTGTGTGTGTGTGTGTGTGTGTGTGTGCGCGCTCAACTGATGGAAAAAGGCATGAAAGTCAGGTGCAAAAAAATAAATTCTCTTCTGCAACCCAGAATTCGCTGTTTAATTAGAATCTTGCCACATATAAGAAGGAAAATCACAAGACAGCTCAAAATAATGGTGTTGTGAGAAAAGGTGGCATAGGAAGAAGTCCTGCCCCGGACAGTCTGCCTCTGGGCCTAGGGCACAACGACTCCCAAGAGACTAAATGTGTGTGTAGGACCATGTGAAGAACCCTAGCACACAAGATGAATATTTACTTGACCTTAGATACTTCTATACTGATCTCAAAATTCTGAACTCAGGACTTGGTAAACAAGAAAGAAAATAATTGGGGAGCCAAGATGTCCGCACGGTCAGAGCAACGGCAACAAAGCGACTCACGGCACAAGGGCTTAAAACATGACTTCAGGCTTCTTCATTTTATTAAGAATCTCGATGCTTCTATGTTAATCCCCAATTCTGAACTCAAGACTTAGCAAGTAAGAGGGAAAACAGCTGAGGCGCCAAGATGGCAGAGCCAAATTGACCTGCCTGCCCAAATGCCCTGGTGGCACCCACGGTCCGCAGACTATCATCACCACCCATGGGCTGTCAAGACCTGGCCTCAGTCCTCAACATTAGGAACTTGAGAAGTCTACAATTTTAGAAAATAAACTAGAGGACATTCGTTAAAACTGTCTGTGAAGCTGTGAAACTTCCCAACTGCCACCTAGAGAATCTTGGATGGAAGGTCTGTGAGTTTATTGCTGCCTGCTGTGAGGACCTAGTTTCTGCTTTAAGCCTAGTTTCTGCAGAATCTTGTGGAGAATCAATCTGTTGGAGAATACCTTGGCCCACAGTGGGACCATTGTGCTGAGTGAGGCCCAGAAAAAGCCAAAGTGTAGCCTGCATGCAACGGCTGAAAACAACTAACTTTGATGAGGAAAACCAAGCATTTCAGACCCCTGAGATAAAGAGAAATCCCTGCTTGACATTCCTTGAAATTAAGAGTGAAAATTGCATTCCAAGAAATCTCAATGTATTTTGATCCCAAACCATGTACAAAGTGAAGGGGGTGGGCCCTTACTTTGACACAGTGTAAGAATTATAGATCACTGGCATTATTATAAGGTGTGATTTCTCCAGTACCCGGTTCAGATATGTTATATAAAACAAGAAGTGTTTTTCATGTGCAAATTGAAGACACAGAGTTGGGGTGGGGAGTGAGGGGGTGGTTGGGTGAGGGTGGGGGAGGAGGTTTGAATGTGATCAAAATTCAGTGTATGAAATTCTTGAATCACTAAAATTTGTCTTAAAATTTAAAAAGATATCTTTTCAGAGGAATCTCGATTTAAATGAAAGTAGATCTGACTCTTCAAAATACAATAAGGCATGTGACTGTCCCAAAGTAGTGTGTAGCACCCCTACACACACTCAGAAAACTTGCTATGAAGCTATTGTCATATACCTTTATGGTCCCTTCTGGATTTTCTCTTTTACATGAAATTATCAATGACATCCTACAGCCATTTTTCTACCTCATCAGTTTGCTCCAAGATGTCTTTGATGAACAATACATACTTATGATAAGTCAGAGGGATGCTATAAAGTTAAATGGCCATATAAAACAATAAAATATATAGGTGGAAGTTAAAAGTGAAACAAAAACTCTAACAAAACAAAATTGATTATAAGTTTATCCTGAAGTGCAGTGGGAAGCAGTGTCTGAGAATTCTGGTCCCCTGGAAAGGTGGGTGACCACATCTTCACAAGTGTTCAAACTCACTGCAGGTCTGCTAGTAATAATGCTGTGTTTAACTGTGGCTGCTAAGCACAGATTATAGCAATTTGTTTCTTGAAACAGTATCTGTAGATGTCATGAAAGACTCAGGCTAATGAAAAGATCTGTTGTTTCCTATGGGATCTCAGTTTCAAATTTGTAGTCATAGAGCAGCATTTTTTTCCCTGTTAATATATTTTAAAACCTTCACCAAATTAATGTACGAAAAGACAAATGGACTCAGTGGTAATGTGTAAGCTTTCCAAATCCAACACTTTCAAGAGATTCTATGATCAGTATGGAATCTGCTTAACCTTTTCAAAGAAAGATGCTTAAGTCCATTAAAACTGCAATGGCTACTGGAACACTAAACCATGGGGGATTTTAGTGAATTTTATTGGTAATGCATGCTGTGCTTTGTAAAACATCTCTACCCACCAAGAAAACTCTGGATCTGCAAGAGGTTA